AGCGGAGCACCATGGGTAAGAAAATGTGGTAATCTACCCATCCGAGAAAATTTGGTAATCACGTGACCGTACGCCCGACCGTCCGTCCGCACCACAGGCATACCAATGTAAAATAACTCAATCAACAGGTATGTTGACCCAAATGCAACTCGAGGTTATTTTGGCGGGAAATCGCATAGCCACCCGCGTCTTGTAAAGCAGAGGCATCTAAAGAGTCAGTAAAGACGATAGCGGAAAGCGGAAATTGTTTCTTTATCCGTGTTTTCTAAAGTATTAAGCTTAGATTAATTGTCATGTCGACAAATTTGGAGTATAGAGCGAGAGAAAGACAGAGAAAAAGTGAAAAAGCGACAGGCCAGCGAAACTCGAAGAGAAAGAGGGCGACAGAGATCTTGAGCGAGAGATAAAAAACAAAGGAGACATTTTTTTCTTCGAAGAACAACATGAAAATTTGGTAGTGGCCGTGACAAAATGAGAAATGCTAGCGGCCACCAATGCAAGGAGAAAATGAGCGGCAGTGAAAAAAATGTGAACGAGAACCCGTACGACATTTCCTTCATAAAAACGTTTCTGGAAGTTTCTCGTTGTAGTCGTGCAAAACAACGGCAAAGAAATGTACAAAAAAAGTGTGCTGCACGTGCAAAGTTGCTTTTTGCTAATTAGACCTATTGTTGTTTTTCACCGTTTTCCGGCGTTGCCTTCGCCGGTTAGCATCACACGATTTTGTATTTTGTTTGAACAAACTATAAATGCTATCGAGAGCTTCGCTTTTAGCCCTGGCTAAATCTATATATTACCAGAGTTAACCAGAGTTTAATTTCGTCTGCGCGCAGGCTAGCGTGAGACAAGAAGGCGCAAGGAAAGTCTTCCCATTAACCAAGAGCCAAGACAGACGTAGCCTCCTTGCAGACGTCCTCTGGGGTTCGTTCGTCACGCATTCATTTCTCCCCCCACGGTCCGTGGGGGAGAAATAAATGCGTGACAAACGAACCCTAAAGGACGTCTTTGGGGAGGCTAAGATAGGTGCAGTAGAAACTCAAATAAGGCGATAAGGACTTCCGTCGCGCGTGTGCATCGGAAGCTTTCGTGAGCCGACAACCTCGGGACGCAAAAAAAGGTGTCCGTAACTGGAACTGGCCGCTTACGGGTTGCTTTGAATGGGAGTCGAGAAAAACGGGGTTTTGTGAAGGCGGTCGTGTCGACGGCCGTGTCATTACCTTGGTTTACCTGTGCAGGCCTGCGCACTTTGACTCCGCCGCGCTAGAGTCTGGGCTCTACTACTTCAAAAAATGGCGCTCAGAATCACCGAGCAGTGGATCAGGGAGAGGGTCAAGTTGAAACACGATAATTTGGGTGAGTTTCCTTCATTAAATGCTTAAACTTTTGTAACTGATTTTATTTTTACCTCCTAGTGCCACGATTTCTTTTGTTTTCTATTTTAGCGCAATGGTTATAGCGTTTTTGACTGCATTCCAACAAAGTTTGGTTTTGTCAGTTTGGTTTTGTTTGCATTGCATGGTCCAACTTGATGTTTTAGCTAGTACGCTTTATTTTATTTTATGGCATTTTACTTAATGAAGCTTCTCTCTTGCTTCTTCAGTTGCTCTAGACACAGAGTTATTACTACTTACATGCGCGCTTAATCAAACTACGCGCCAGTTTCAATAAAACAAACCGCCATTAATGTATCGGTCAAATCGAAGCTTCAACATGCCCCCCCCCCCCNTTTCACAGGCACATAATGCCGGACTGAAGGACGGCAGAAACGCCTTCAGTTGTCGAACAAAATCTTTATAAATACAGCAAATAATTCGCATTCAATATAACAAAAACTGAGAAACACTGTAAGCGTATTTACTACAAACAAACTTCTCGTGCAAAGCGGCGGAAATCGCTGCTACAAGGTCACTGAATGCTCAGCTTTTCTTCGTGTGTCATGCAACATAGAAAACGTGTTATAAAAAAATCCCACCTACTACATCATGACCATTTCACTGACATGAATCATCGCTCACCTTATACATGCGGCAGGTCAAAGTAATATTGCCCTCTGTTGAGCTTTTTATTGTTGCATACACAACTTTTATACATTCATGTATTCAAAACCAAGCTTATTTAAGCCCTTTCCTCGTAACCAATTGGCCACAAAGGCACAATTTTTTCCACGAAAATCCCCGAACACCGCGTCCCCCATGATAGCCCGCCACGCAAGAGATTTCACATGAAATCGTGGGTGCAGTCCAAATTCCCCACCCCCAACGCATGGAGATCAAATTCCCCACCCCCTGGAAGACTCTGATAATCAAATTCCCTCCTCCCCGGGACGGCAAAGGTGTCAAATGCCCGGGGCTTGCCCAGGGGGGGCATGTTGAAGCTTCGATTTGACCGATACATAATTCCCTTAAAATTTTGGCGACACCATAGCTTGATGGTTGGTATCTGACGTCTTATTAAGACCAGTTTTGTTTCCCAAAATCCAAACAGTTAGCAAACACCTGTTACCGTATGCATTAAATTTAGTTACTACCAAAAGTACTTTTAAAGAGGCTTGTAATTTTCCCTTCTAATCAGCCAAACTTTTGCTTTTGTTGCTTTCCTTCTCATCTTTTATTCTCAGTGTTAGATTTTTCTTTGTGCGTCAGCATGATACCTGTCACTTTGATGATACATGTTTTCAGTCACTTGCAAACTGACCTGACCAGGATTCTGCAATTTAGAATATATTGAAAAGTTGAACTGGACATTTGAGTAATGTGGATATGACTTGACTCAGATTTGAAGAGGCAAGGCCGTTCTCACTAAATTTACACTGGTTATAATTATAACATACAAAACCACTCAATTTTTTAGCCCTTCCTATTTATTACTGTTTAGTAATACATGCACAATAATAATAATAATAATAATAATAATACATGCACAAAATTATTGAAAATTAAATAAATTATACTGTATGTGGTCCTTGGTCTGCCACTAAATACTATTGATAATTTAAGACAATTGGTATTAATAAGACAAGTTCGTGTGCTTGTAAATTAAAGTACTTTCTTCTTTGCAAGTGATTCTGGAATTTTTTTTTTCACTTTTCCAAAAAAATGGGTTGGTCGGGCGATGGGAAAGGAAACATTTTATGGGGATGGCCATATCTTATCTGAATCAAAACGTAACGAACTAAAATACTCCCGGAAGATAATTGTTATGTTCCTTTTGATAATCGTGAAGTGATAAGTTCCAACCTTACCTTTAGTATTTTGCTTGTGATTCAAAAAGGCAACTGTGCTTGATGATCCTTGTTCCGTGACTCATGTAAAAAGCACAAAAGGTACGAGAGAATGGGATAGTTTCCCTATGAAAATGTAATTTTCACAATATTTCATGTACATGTATTTTATTTATTCTTGATACAATTATGCTATAAATAAATACTCAGCACTCAGCGTAGGTAAAAATAAAAATACAGCACCATTTCACCCTATGAAAAATCAAAATATAGAGAATATGTTCAGTGCAGTTGAAAAACTCTGTATGTGTTTGAGATATTAAGAAAAGAGAACTTGTAAACATAGGAATATTTTTGTAAACAAAGGAATATTTTTAACACATTCCATTTAATCAAAGGGTTTCATTTATTTTGCTAAATGTAATTACGCCAAAGTGATAGGTTGCAGACCAAGGACCAGTACGCAAAATTTGGTGACTTTTTTCAAGAGTCGATAAAACAAAAACTTCAAAGTATGCAGCAAATTTGCTTCCAACGGCACAAAAAGTTTTATCTGAAAACCTGTCCTGCAAAAAGCCACATCTTCCCATTGCTTGTTATTTATTCACAAGCCACGTAAACATGACCAAAAGTACAAACTTCAAGAAAGACAAATTAACCTATGGGTCAACAAACTCGAATTTTGCAGCTTTACGAACAGCAGCAAAGCGAAAACTTCGCCATATGAAAGACGACTAATCAATAAATCATTGAACACATTCAGTTTTTTCCTTTTTTTCTAGATGAAATATTTCATCATGTTTGGAAAAGTCACGGACCAGGGACCACATACTGTATTGATAGATGTACAACATAGATAAACAAATTACTTTTAAAGTATTATTATTATTATTATTATTGTTATTATTATTATTATTATTATTGTATCACCATAAATAAGTAAACATTGGTGATGATATGATGGTTTGTCATCATTATTTTTTTGCCTGTGATCATGAAGATGATGTGAAATCTCTCTCTTTGCCTGGTACATATCATGAAAAGATATCTTCACTGGGGACTTCGCTCTCTGGATTTACTCGACTCAAGTCCTTGGATTTGTCTCGTAATGCCTTAATATCCACAGAGGTAAATATTTTCCTTCTTCCCATCACTTCCTCTTTAATTTTGCACAAGATAATTTAAAGGCATCAGCAAAGAATCTGAATGCTACCAGATCAAATCAACACCTGTAACTCACTTTAATGACAAAATGTTAAAGATAAGGTTTAAGAGTTGATCTAATTCCAGTCCTATCCATGTTTTGTCACTGGTGCTAAATAAGATTCTTGTGATCTTCCTTTGTCGTCATGTTACCCCTTGAGGCCTACATTTTACATCTGGGTAACTGTAAAATCTAAGTTTTTCAATGGAAATCATATGCTTGGCACCTTGGATTTCACAAGCATAGAGCACCAGTCTCTTCAATTTTGTCTATAATCTTAGAACACTGCAGCCACAGAAAAGGACTAGATCGCATGACTCTTGAAGAAAGTCTGCAGACTTACAGGAGTCCTGGGTGCTTAAGGTGAACTTTAAATGGAAAGTTGTTGTTGGAGCTCAGAATAATTACATATGAATTGTATACTTTGTCAAGGTGGCCATAGATGGAAATACAGTGAAACCTCTATCAAGAGGACACTAAGGCGGGTCCCGAAATTAATGTCTTATATGTCCCTTTATAACGGACACCTCTATTAGGCGGACGTGGACACTTAAATAAATTGTATTTGTCTAATTTCTATTGTTAAAACCCTCTATTAATATAAGCGGATACCGAATTGAATTGAATAGTATTTGATTACATCCTAGAAATACATACTGTAGTCAATTTAATAGTACACATAAATCAATACATTTAGCTGTCAATAAACTTTAGATTAGACCGATATCCAGCTGTATGATTGTCATCCGCAATGAAAGTTCACCTAAGAGTCTTGTAACCGTTGAATGTTAATCATTAACAAACATTGCATAATTTTTACAAACCTCTATTAAGCAGACACCCTCTATTAAGCGGACACTTGGGAAGCTGCCAAAGGTGTCTGCTTAATAGAGGTTTCACTGTATTCACCAAACAGAGCGTCCATTTTGAGAGTGCTGACTGCATATTTTTAGATCTCTTTGTGACACACATTTCCCTCCCCCCCCACCCCCTTTAAAAATCTGTAAACTTACCGGGCCATGTAACTGGGAGTAATCCTATTTTAATTTATTTCAATGGATTCATTTTTTTTTATTTCACTTCTAGGGTCTGCAAGAACAGCACACCTTAGAATCACTTAATCTGTATCCTCAATTTTCTTGTTCGAACTACAATTATACTTACATATTATAGCAGGCAATTAATTTTGTTTATAAATTATTAAATTACAGTTGTTTCAGAAGGTAGAAGTACCAGCAGTCCCTTAGTTTAAAGGGGCTTTTAATTTGTCATGTGGATATTGCTGTTAATTTATTACAATAATGTAGGTCTGTTTGTTGTTGTTGTTGTTGTTGCTGCTGTTGATATTGTTCTGCTTTGTTTTTTGTGTTAGGTTTATTTTCTCAGTTTTCCTTAAAGCAATCTAAATAGATATTACAATAATATCTGCTCATTAAAAGATTTGTATGGACTACAAAATTTGACTAATCTGAAGGTTTGTAGATGGTTGTTTAATTTTATAATAACAAATTTATTTAGTCAGTTATTGCTAAAAAAAGCAGTACAGTGGAATTCAACTGAAATGTGGGGTAATATTAATTTTGCTTTGCCTGGATACTAATTATCGGTGGTCTGACATCTTTTCTGCAGGACTTGGATCTTAGGTTAAATCCAGTTACAAAGAACGAACCAGATTACCGTCTCTTCATTGTTCACATGCTTCCTAATTTACGGCAGCTTGGTATGTTTTAAATTGTAGTACTTTTTTGACTGTACACTTCATGAGTGTGGTTCACTAAAACTTGGCCTGTTGATTTTAATTTCATAAACCCCCTGTTCCTTCTTGATTTTGTACAAAAAAGTATGTTGTTAATTCTGTTTAAATGCGCAAAAATGGAGTCTGACTATACAATGTGTTCTGTGGTCACCCATGGTCAGGTTCAGCTGTGTTGTTCCTCAAGTTGTTTCCATGTGTAACCCAGTTTTTACTTGCAGATGATAGGTCTGTACGCGACAGTGAAAGGAGAGCAGCTATAATGCACTTTACTTCTGATCAGGTACATGTATTTGTAATAACTACAATAAACATGACCTGTGATTTAACTTACCCATAACTATTATATTGGTTAACATATTCAGTTCATTGGATTAAAAGCCTGGCCCTGAAAAAAAGCCAAGATTAGGGGAAAGTTGTTGTACAGTTAATCAAAGGGGGAATTTATTAGATACCTATGGCCCAATTTGTTTAAAAGGGGGATAACATTATCCACTAGATAAATCACTGTCAAATTGGATCGTGCAATTATTTGAATGTCCTAAATACTTATCCACTGAATACTAATTTATTCAGTGGATGACACCATCCAACTTTTGAAACGTTAGGATACCTTTTTTTCCATGCATGTCCCTTCATTTTGATTTTCAACCATTTTTTTTCTCTACTTTTTTTTGTAGGCATCAGATTTTGATCGTCATTACTCATCAAACTCTAAAATGGAATCAGAGAGGTAAGTACAGCAAAACCTGTTTGCGGGAAGATCAGCAGGGTAGTCGATAAGAGCTGGGGGCTAGGGATTTCCCCTGGGTGCTACTATGAGATGGTCAAGAATGACCATTGGGGATGTAACGTAGGAGTCAGACGGTCATAGGAGAGCAGGTGACAACTACATATAGTGTGACTGTAAATTGTAGCTGTTCAAGGGACTTTGTTGTTACAATGCTTTCTGTTTTTCTGCAGGGTTCCTTTGCCCAGGTCTGAAATGATACGTAAGCTTGCTTCTCAACCAACAGGTATTCATTATTAATTAGTTTTATTTATAATAATGATATTATTATTATTTTTTAGTAGTAGGTTAAACCCCTGTGGTCACTTGAAGAAATCATGAAAGCAATGGCAAGAGAATATATTGGCAGATCATAAGCATTCATCAAAGTTAGTAGAGGAGACTGCCTGTGTTATGGTTCACGAATAGTCCCACGGTTCCAGCTTGTCTTGTACTAAGTTACATCAAATTACAATCATGGTTGCTAAAAGTGAAACAAAATTACAAATTACTGAGGAATACAAATGACAGCTATGAAACGACGAAGATACAGGAAAAGGAAGCAAACTAAGCGAAAATACTTGAACGGAAAGTTGAACGGAAAAAAGTTACGATGGCTAACAAAACTGAATGAAAACAGTGATGATGTTGCCGTGAATGCTAAAGCGAAATGCACCTAGAATAAGCGATGAAACATGCAAAATGATCTAAAAACAAAGGAAATTATGAAGAGAAATCTAACAGAATCTTAATAGCGATAGCTGAAAAGAATGTGCAAAACTAAACGATGAACTAAACACTAAACATATTTGACGAGGAATGCGGCCGTAACAGCATGGTTATGGAAGGTGGCAAACATCAAAGTTGGAAACAACAGTACTGCAATGTTGGAAGCTCCCTGACATTGCACAACTCTTTGTTTTTTGTTTACAAATCGTGACTGAACTTTCTGACCAATGGTAATGTATCGCATTAATGTGTATTATTAATACGATACATTACTATTGGTCAGAAAGTTCCAAATGATATTCATGAATGCTATTGAAAGTTGCACTCAGCAGGAACAAAAAAGCTAACAAAAACATATAACAAAGGCATCTAATGGGTTTCATAACCATTCCACTTTAGTAGCTATGCATTCATATAATAATAATTATATATTATTTTTACATTAACTGTCCCATAGATTTATCATTCTTTGAAAAGATAAAAATAAAATGTTATAAGATGAACACCAGATTGCATCAGGAGTATTGAACAGTCATCATTAACCCTTTCTTGTTGTGTTCCATGGTGCTCATCCATATCCTTTGTCAAGAAAACTATAAAAGTCTGTGGCACATCAAATAATAATAAATTGTATTATAATTATGTTGTTTCAACTTTTCTCTTACTTTGATAAAATAATATCCAGTTCTAGAAGATGATGACGTAGCAGTGCTTGATCTAATTTCACGTACTGGTGGAGATTTGTCACAACCAAGAGGAATTTCTGGTTCATCAGCCCAAGTGCCTGATGTTGGAAGCTACACTAGAGATGGTATTTATTATTTACAATAACCAACAACATTAATTTATATTTGTGATGATGTGATCCAAAGGTGAAGGCTAAACCAAGACAACTGTAGACAGTGTACTACTGACCTTACCTATAATAACTGCAGTGTTGTTTAAATGTTGACAGTAGGCTTGCTAATCAAAACAGCAACAAGTCGAAATCTGTGGATGAAGTCAGTGACTCATAAGGGACTCAGAATAAGTGAATCTGATGTCTCAATCAGGAGTTTAACTTATGAAACCTACAGTAAGGCCATTTCACTAGGTTCAAGTGACAATACATAGGTCCACCTTCTGCTTGGAGAACTCAGGTGATGCCAGACATCAGGTAGTCTAGAATCAGATTGACAGTTATTCTGGTGAACTAATTGATGTGGTTGCAGGTCTTTGATAATTCGTCTCGCTAATTTAAGTTAAAATTCTATTTGTTTCAGAGCTTCACAAAATATTTCCACCAGTTAAACACAAAGCAGGTTCAAGGAATCCATCGTCACAGGGAACTTCAGATGTAAGACCACAAAAAGACAGAGCTTATGTGCACTTTGCCGATAATGATGTCAGGTTATCAGACGATCCCAATCTAAAATATAGAGACGAAACAGATGCATATACAACCATCTCCACCAGAGGACACTTCATGCCCAATCCAAAGATGACTAGTTATAACCCATCACCAAGACAACCATACAACCCACCGACACTCAGTAGTACAGAACATGTTAGACCAGAGGATTTAAGCTCTGACAAATCTAGAGGCGATGTAGCTGGCTTGCGAGAAAGAGTAGAGGATAAAAGTGTTCCTTTGTCTGCAAGGTCATATGAACTGTCACCGTCTAGAAAAAGACAGTCGTCTTCTCCCAGGCAATCACAAGGACCCCTTGCTGACAAGATAGGTAAAGGATCGGAGAATGTTGTCGAGGAAACACCAACACGAGGCCTACAGACAAAACTGGTATGTTATTGGTATGGCAATCATTTTCAGAACTGTCATCAAGGGGCAGAGGCGGGGGCTGGAGATTTCCCCCAGCTACTATGAACATGGCCCCAAGCTACTTTGATTCAAAGGAAAATAGAAGAAATATAGAACCAAAAGAAACCCCTAGCTGTTTGATTCCCCACCTACTTGACTGTTGTATTTTCCCATCAACTTGAAATCTTAGTGACAACCCTGCATTTCTCATTGACAATTTAAGTTTAACTGCTGCAGTGTAGTCCAACTTCAACAAAGAAAACAACTGGGCAATGAAACAAGCAAATCCCAGCTTGGTTTTCCCTGTACATTAGGCAAAAATGCATTTTATGTGCTATCTAATGTCTGTCGTGTACACTGATCATTTTTATATCTTAAATGTAAAAAAACCCAAACCCTAAATCAACCCCTTGCAAAATGAGTTTTAGCAAGGGGGAAAGATCATTTTCTCTATCTTTCCACTGTTCACATGTGATACTCAATGAATTTTATATTATATATTATTTATCCACACACTTACTGTTTGATGCTGTGAACAGGTGACTATTGAGCAATCAGGACAAGTTGAAGATCAAGGGATGTTTTTAAACAAACTTCTGGACTTGGTAGACAAGTAAGGTTATCTGGTATCATTTGCAATATTTTTTTAAAAATAAGTTATATATATAAGGACATCAGCATTTGGAACTGAAACTAACTTTAGTTAATAGAACAAAAAAGGACTGATTTTAACTCAAAATTTTGACTAAGGGCCTATCCGCTCTAGAAAAATAGCTGTTCTTAAAGGCAAATTTTCTGTTATCACCAACGCTTTTAAAACAAATGCCGATGGTTTGTCATAATTGTACAAATTTTGTCCCAGAGAGGAAAATCTTCAAAGGTGCCACAGACAAAATTTGCCCCAGGTAAAAACTGGACAAAATCGACAAAGTAAACAAAAATGTGTTTTTCTTGTCAATCATTTTGTTTTAAAGCCATCATTCTTTCCTTAATGCAAGTGTTGTCAGATGTAACTGCCTGATAAGAGTAAAATAGTTTCCAGTGTGATAAATTTTTTCAAAACAAAATATTGTCACCATACAAATTTGGTTTGATGTTTCAAACACAATTCTGATTTTTTCTGCTAATTGTTACTGGTACATGTACATTTCAGGGCTTCTGATATTTCGCGGAAAAAAAAAGCAAAATTTCGCGGGATTTTCAGGGGCAAATTCGCAGAAAAATCGGCCGATTTCGCGGGGTTTTCGCGGGGAAAAAGTCAAAATTCGCAGAAAAATCGGCCGATTTCGCGGGATTTTAGCGGAAAAAAGTCAAATTTCGAAGGATTTTCGGGGCAAATTCTAAGACAAATCGGCTGATTTCACGGGAAATTTCGGGGGGAAACTTCGCCAAAAAACAATCAGTAAAAAACAGCCGATTTCGCTGGATTTTTGTGACAAATTTCGCTAAAATCGATCAATTTTGCGTCGATATGACCAGCATTTGTTTAACGATTTTTTAACAGGGATAATCATTTGCTCTTTCAACAACGGTTCGCTCGAGAAATGAGCGAATGCTAAAGCTGTTTACATTATGGTTAGTGCCCAGTTTTTCGCAACGTTCATCTAAGAACGCCTGGTAGTTTTGAGACGTTGTTTACTCCAGTGACAAAGTTTCAAGATAAATTTGGACGTTTGGGGTGAATAGAACAGGTCTAATCGCCAAGATAAGTATTAAATATGTTTTGCCGACATGTATTTGGAAATATTTCTAACGGATTTCGCGGTATTTCGTGTTTTTTTGGGAATTTCGCGGGATTTCGCGGAAATACCTGAGTTTCGCGGGTCCGCGACCGCGCGAAATATCAGAAGCCCTGGCATTTGTTGTCTACCTAGGTACTGGAATGGATCAAAATCACTCCATCGGCATTCCAAATTTCAAAGTAAGTTTAATGAAATTTTTGAGAATATTTTTTTTGTCTGTGCATAGGTTACAAGAATGCTCTATTTTTTGCTGGATAAAAAATTCAATAATTATTGTTTAAAAAGTGAATTCATTTGGTGTTGGCAGGTCTTGCACAGAGGCTTGTTTCCTCTCACCTACCTGCTACAGTGGGCAGCCAAGATCACACAGCATCACATAGCATTGACAAGCTACAAAGACAACTGAATGAGAGAACAGCTGAAATATCAAGAATGCGTGACCAAATGTCACAACAACAACGAGAACTAGAACAAGTGCGAAGTAACTTCAAAAGTCAAGGTGGTATAAAGGAGTCACTTGATGCCACGGCACACAACGTGGTGCGTAAATGAGTCTCTGTAGTTATCTTTTATACATGCCACCATTAGTCAAGAGCACCAGTGTGTAACAGCAAATGCGCTAATACAGACCCCAGTATTGTTTCAGTGTAACCTAACTCATACACTGTAGATTGGCTTTGTTCAGTAAATTACTGATTTGAAAAAAAGCAAGAACACTATTAAAGTGAAGTCATAAAGGTAACTGTATTGCTGTAATAGCTTTTTTGTGTGTTTAGTTATGTGTTTATCTATTTGTACTATGTAAGCATGACTTTGTGTGTCTTTTTTGTCTTTTTCCTTTTTTTCTCTCTTAATCTCTATTTTGTATGTAAACATAGAAATTATTTCATAAAACAATCAAAACAAAAAAAAGAATACAGGTGGTGTAAAGCATCTTAGGTTTTCGTTGACAGTTTTTAATTTGATGTTTCGACACCAACTTTTAACAACTCTTTTAATAGAAATAAAAGGCTACCTGAAGGGGGAAGGGGTACACGGAATAAGCTCTGAATGTTTCATACTCTGTTAATGCTCTTTTCCTTCACAAGGAAATGTAAAAAAAATACAAATAATACATGTGTAGTCTGTAGGTCTTGAATGATTGCATGCCTTTTCTAAACATACTATTCAGGCAACTGAGCGATCACGACGGATGGAGTTGCAGGAAGAAAATAACTCTTTGCGCTCAAAAATTACTGCATTAGAAGTTGTTTCACATGGGGCAACAGAACAAGAGAAAGTAATAGGTAAAGCACTTTTCCAGCTGGCACATTAACTCTCTAAATTGTAATACTGGATTTTAAGTGAAAACATTTTTTGGCCTGTTGCTAGTGGATCACCACAAGGGAATTTGATTATCTGCTGATTGTGTTGTTGGTGGTGTGATAACTGTGCTTGGGTATCAAGGAGTGCCATGGGATTTGCACTCAAGGTTGTCTCTAAGAGCTAAGGGGTGGAGAATTCCCCCATCTACTATGGGCATAGTCTCCCTCGCAGCCGTTTTTTGGATGTCATGGGGGAGCATTGCATGACATCCAAAAAGCGGCTGCGAGGGAGACTACTTTGAGCATAGCCTGTGCTACAGATGGAACTAAACTTCTGGTTAAGTCCATCTGTGAAAGCTAGCACCAAAATCCTTGTTCTAGGCCACCAGCTGGACTTGAGTATACAGAGTAGTACACACCTTGATTGGTCTGTTAAAAATGCCATTGTCAATTTGCTAGTCAGGTTGAAAGGAAATACGAAACATATTTCTGGTAATTTGTCGAATCTATTATTGGGGGCCCAGAAAAAGCATATCAGGTTAAATTATGTGTCGTCTGTATTAAACGCAGGCTTCAGTGAGCATAGCCCCCGGCTATTTTCATAGGAAACTAAAGTATAGTAAAACCAAAAGAAATTCCTAGATTCAATTCCCCGCCTACTAATTTCATATATTACACAGCTACTTGAAGTCTTAGCGACTGCCCTGTGCACTGGCTTTAGTTGCAGGAGCAGGTCTGGAGCACTAGAAGGTGTGTCTTTAATGGGGTCTTGTCACTGACAGAACCTTCCACACTAACTGGCACATCTGGCACTGGGCAGTTGTTCAAACATTAGATAATGCTATCCACCAGATAAATCACTGTCAAGTGGTTAAGTATTAGAATCAGTTGCGTAATATCGGAAACTCATAATGGGTTATGAGTTTCTGGTAATATCCACTGGTCAAGATAGAGTTTTACCCAGTGGATAGCATTGTACAGCTTGTAAACAACTGAAGCCTGCAAATTATACGGGCCTCTCGGTGTGGTGCAGTCTTCTGAGGTGGTGTGGTGTGGTAGATGGGAGAAGGCAAATTGTGCTTGTATTGTCTTCTTTCATTATAGGAGAACTTCAGCAAAGAAATCTCTCACTTCAAGAACAAGTCAAAAACCTTAACCAACAAGTACAGCAACAAAAAATCAACTTGCAACAATTACAAGAGCTAACAAATATGTTACAAGAAAGCCACAGGTGAGATGTACATAATTATACATATATATTGATTTTTGGCTTATAATAAATTGAACTTTATTTTTTTGAAAATAAAATGTTCAAGATGGGTTATAGAATTTCATCATGATCTATGATGATTAATTATAAATTTTAGATTAAGACTAATGACATACACACAGTGATCTAGTTTATCCACTTACGATATTGATGGACCTTCAGCTGTACACTGCAGCCATGTTAATACTGATACTTTCACACTCCTTCTTTCTTAATGCATGTACAATCCAGATCACTGGTTTCCACAAATGACCATCTACTTCGGGAACTGGATGAAGTGCGCCAACGTCATCAACATGAGGTCCATCAAATGCACTGGAGTTATGACAATCTAAAAAAGACTATAGATTGGATTCCAAATAATACAAAGTAGCTAGTAAAAGGCATTACAGATTTACATCTAGTAAAATATGACTTGTGTGCAGTTATGTTCAGTAGTAAAATATGTACAGAAAACTTTTCAAGAAAGTCTTAAACTATTCAATATAAACAGGAAAATAGAAGGTGTGATTCAAACCCACTATTTAACGTAAAGCTGACAGCAAGACAACAAAGGTAATATGTCATGAAAGATATTGTGCATTGTGGTTGATGTGTATAAAGGGTTTTGTTTATTGCTTATCATTTGTCTCAGGATGTCACTTAGAATCAATTGCGATTCTATCGCCTAATGAAGACCTTCGCGAATTCAGTATGCAGTCGAGACCTTCAGTACGTAGTCAAAACATCATAATCACTATCTAAGGGACAATCACGAGACAAACAATTAACAAAATCCTTTAAAAAAAAAGGTAGAGTATTCAAGTAAAAGTCAAAATTGTAGCAAAATAAATGATTGATTTTTTTTCAAAAATCCTGAATTCCTAGTTTTATTAGCAGTGTATGACAAATTGCATCATATTCTGTTACATAAAATGTATTATTTTACAGATATTTTAAGTCTGATATGTCTCTCTAACTTAACGTGGATACCATTGGGACTGGCACTTTTACACTATAGTGCTATAAAAAGTTAAACATACAGTGAAAAAGGATGGAGGAACAGTAGGGACTTCTCATTTGAGGTGTGACCTCTTACGACAAATAATGAGAAAAATCTCAAGTATGCAGAATTTTTTTTAAATTAAGAGTCAACTTTCAAATCCCCCCTGAGGTGGTTTCTGTTGTTGTTGCAAGAGTTTTCTTTTTTAAAGCTTTATATTTTATATCCTTATTCTCATGTATGTATTCAGTAAAATATATCATTTATGGGACTCCAGAATTTAATTCCCAATATATAAGTTAAAGGACAATGATGGGTGTCTATTTACTGGAGGTGTCAACAAAGTGAGGATGTTACATTTTGTAAACACTTTCGTACACTGGACGGTTATATTTACTGGTATTATGTGTTTTTATCAGTCCCTTTAAGTGACTTAACTAGTTGTTTTAAAAACTCAGGTTGTTGATAACACTAATTAAGTCTCCCACTCATATAGCCAGGTGCCCCACCAACTACGCTATGAACTAGGAAACAGTTTTTTGTACAAATAAGTTACACCATAAACCCATTCACTCCTGGAAATTTTACTGCAAAACACCTTTTGAAGCTACATTGTTGTTGAGGCATTTTGTGGTCGCTATCTCGCCAAAAAGAACTGATAAAAACTGCACAAAAAATGTTTATAAGTCGAGCACGTTGTGCTGTCTGTTCCTAAGCCTAATAATATATTATTAATTAGCTTCCAAAGTTCAGGTATGCACAGAGATCAAAATTTGGGCCCCTTGAATTTCCATTTTTCATACTTCCCTTTATTTAATTCTGCCTTTTTTTGCTGGGTATTTACTGGCTAAGCTTCCTTTTTAGTCAGAAACGTTTTTGGAACGGATTAGATGGAAGGAAGTGCAGTTTGGGTAGTAGAACAAGATTTTCCTTGGAATTTTCTCGTCAATGCTAAATGATAGTTGAGGAGAAATGTGGGGTCATTTACAATATCAAACGCAAGGATTGTGATGCTGAGGACATTGGTGAAACAGCAACGAAACTGGGCACTTAAGGCTAAATGAACACGGGAAATCAGTGCTAGCCTGCGATCTCAAGTCTACTGTGTCTGAACACACTAAGCATGCAGGCCACTCCATCAACTGAGCTAGTGTAAAAATTATTGGCCAGGAAGACCACCCTGCTTTCATGCAAGATACATGAGGCCATAAACATTCATACTCAGCAACTGGAAATAAACCGTGATCAGGGCTACAACCTTCCCCTACTTATGGAACAATTTTGCAGCCTCATTTGTTCAAAAGGAGGCTGCAAATAACAGCAAACGTCATCACTGATGAAGGAATGTGGTTGGGTTCCGAAAGATGTGCTAAATTTTCAACAAACTGTTGGTGTTGAAAAATATGATGATGTTGATGATGAAACTTTATTAAGGTGTCTAAAGAAGCACCTTAATAAAGTTTCATTATTTTTGTTATGTAATAATTATGTAGGTATCTTTCAATAATTGTTTTCCAGCCTGTTTGACTAAATCATGCTCATTAATTTTTTGCTTAGATGTCAAAGTTGTTTAATGGTGACCATTAAAACAGACATTATTGACATCACAAGCAGTACAAGGGATGTGGCTCCCCATGAGTTGTTATGGGCGGTTCAAAGGTGAATGGGTATATGAACCTCTACCTCTAATAAACTTAACAAGATGACATGAAGATTTTTTGTTAAAATATTAGTTTCTAATTTTGTAACGTTGTATTGTAATAACTTCAGTCAATCTTCTCGTGTCATTTATGTAGATCTATCTGATCTTCCTTTTCTGTACCTTTTCTTAATCTCTTCTTAGTAAATTTCTCAATGTTTTCCTAGTGTCATGCTGCCACGATTAGCCAACTATATGCAAGCAGAAGATGTGTGCATGAACATGTATGCTTAATAATGTTTGTAACTTCTACGGAAATCACTGAGTCAATCAATAAACTATTCAACTTCAATAAACTTCTATATTTTTTAAACCTAGAGCTAACAGTGAAAAGTTTGACACATCAAGTTATTTCAAAGGCTTTATTGTTATTGTCTTTAGAAGATGATCAAAACTACATTTTAACACAGCTAAAAAAATCAGTTAATTAGATCACCTGAGTTATGTATGGTTCATAAAAGACACACAATGGTCTACTTATATATTTTTTTTCATATCATACTAAACTTTGCCACACTGTTTTATAGACAAATGTTGAAAATTCATCTTCAGTTGGCCTTGTGTTTACACTCTGAGTGCTCTCAACCTGGGGGAGGGGGTAGGTAGGTTTAATATGTAAAAGGAAGGAAAGCAGCTGAGTATGCCCACAACTACAGTGTGGTCTCTTTGAAAGATGTACCCACATGTATTAAATAGACTGTCCCCACATTCATGTGAACTAAAGGCACAAACTCGAGGCTTGCAGTGACAAAACACAGTGAGTTATTTGTATGGATTTGTCCACCCAAACCTTAATCTTGTTTTATTAAGTGTGCTCTCCGGAGCACAATGCAGGAATGGTTTATGAGTGTTTGAAAACAATCGTATTTCAACCCTGTAAAGTATATTTCCGGATTGTGTTACTGCTGCCAGATGTGTTCTAGAACTGCCATGCATTGCCTTCCCAGCATGACCGATAGCCTACAGCTGAATGTGTAGTCACACCCTCCAACCCCTCCCTCCATTTTTCTTTTGTCGGGGGGAGGGTGCAGCTACACATAGGCTAGAGGAAGGAATGTATGACAGCCCTGGTAAAGAAGAACTTTAGTGCACAGTGAAGTTAAGCTAAATGCTAACAAACTATTTGACTTCTGCAGTAAATTGCGCACATATACTCTACTGTTACACAGAGGACACTGCATCATATCTTTTAGGTGTAATTACATTGTTTTCAGTTATTAAATAAAGCCAAGAGTTTGTTGAGTTTGGTCTCCATTAGAATTTTGATCAGGGCTGTCACTTAGATTTCAAGTTGCCTGGCATAAGCAATAATATTAGTACAGGGGCGTAGCCAGGATTTTTCAAAGGGGAGGTCACAGAGGCTACTCACCAGATCACCATCCAGGGATCGCCGACTATAATGGTTTATACCGCTGCTCTCCCTCGTGTATCAGCGGGCTCAGTCGTATTATCATGGCGTGAAGGCCCATATTAACTAAAGACAATGAGCCGTTGACGAAAATACTTTACAAAAAAACAAACTTTAAAAAAGCGGGCTTTTCAACAATGGCTTTTACGGCCAAGATATTGTCATGGCGTTTTCGCCAGCTGAATATTGTAGGTTGTTTGCTCAAAAGAAGGCCTACCAAGGGGGGGTCAGGGGCACCCCAGGACCCCCCCCCCCCTCCTCAAGCTACGCCCCTGTAGTAGGTAGGAATTGAACACCAAGAAAACTCATTAATAAATGTGAGAGTAGCCAGCAGCCATGTTCAAGGTAGCCAGAGAAAATTGCCCGCTCTTGGCCCTTAGTGACAGCCCTGATTGGACAATCCTATCAGCTTCTACTTCCCTTTTGCATAGTACATACTCAATAGTCCCCCAGTATTAGGCATGTTAATAATAAGTTAGTGTGTTTTATCGTAAGTGTCCTTTCCCTTGTATCCTCCTACATAACCTTCAGCAGCTTTGTCATCACGGTCAACACGCCCTTCGATGCCTTTGCCTTTTCCACTCTCATCAAAACGTTCCTTGTGAGAACCAGTATATTTCGAAGTATCAGTCAGGCGATCTACTCCACCAGCCTTGACAGCTTTCTGTCATGGTTTAATAAATAAAATGATTTTTAATACAGTACCTTTTATACCAGAGAAAGTGTGAATCCTGTTTCCCACCCAATCATGCTTCCATGATTGGCTTGTTATCCACAGTAAAGTTTCCTGGCTTCCATATGAGTGTGTGATCATTCAACAAACTCAAACCCAGTCTCCTCCTTACAAGTACATGTCCGGGGGGGGGGGGGGGGGGGGGGGGGGGGGGTTGGTTTTCGTTTGGGAGGGGGGGGTAAAAAGGGGGGAAAAAAGAAACAAAAAAAAAAAAAAAAGGAATTTAACAAAAAACAAAAAAAAAACACGTGAAAAAAAAAAAAAAAAAAAAAAAAAACTATAAAATATTATTTAATATAAAAAAAATATACTTTACCAAGATAAAAATAACAAAAAAAAAAATTGTGATTTGGCGCGGGGTCTGAGTAGGCGGCGGGCGCCAGGTGACACCTTGTCGGGGGCGCAGGCGGAGAGGGGGGGGGGGGGGGGGGGGGGGGGGGGGGCGGGGGGAGGGTACTCTGGAATTCAGGTGACAGGGATGATCAAATGGGGGCAAAAATCGAAACCAAAACAAATACCTAGGGATTCCAACAAAACCTGAACAAAAATCCCTGGACAAAAAATTAATACCAAAAAAATTCCATGACGAATTTTTGAACCTTAAAAAATTATTTCCAGAAGGCATTAAATGATACAACAAAAAATATAGAAATTGATTGCTGGTGTTTGTTTCTTCATCATACCATCTAAAATTTTCCTACCCCAAAAAAATCCTTTGGTCACCCGTGTCACTTGAAATCTGGAATACCCACCCCCCTCCCCCTCTTGGGTACATAAGCTAATTAAAATAAAGTCTTGGTGATTTTCAGCAATAACAAAGCATACATGAATTCAAAACCCTTTTAAAATGGCCCTTTAAATTTTAACAGAATTGTGGGGCCCTATTTGCAATTTGTAATTACTGACATAAAGAAAGTAAACAAAGAACAGATGATACTTTATGTTATTTATAGTTTCAATGTTTATCTCAAATAATTATGTAGAACTTGGAAAGCTATACTGAATCTTTCAATCTTTGCAATTTACTAAGTCATATTAAAAAAGTAAATTTTTACCTACCCATGCGTAAAAACTGAGAGTATATAAGCTACCCAGGAATTTGGGTTAATTAGAAAGTGCAATTTACATGTATAATTAATATACAGCTAGAATATTCTTATAATTTTGAATACCCTACCCTAACGTGCCAAGTAGAATAGTTTGAATTAAGGGAGCTTTTTTTTTCAGCCGTAACACAGTTGATGGCAATTTTTTTGTTTTCAATTCCATGCATTTGTCGTGACAAGATGCATGACAACATCAGACAATTAATTACATGCACATACAGTCACAAACATAAACTTTACACATACAAAAGACCCAGTAGGTCACATTTAAACAACTCACCGTTGCTCCACTTGTGGCGGGACCTTTACCAGCACAAATTTTCTCGATGAGCTTTCCGACATCGTCTTTGCTCCCATACTTTTTCTCTGCACACAATTCTAAGGCTTTTTTGAACTGACTAAAATTTATCTTTCTTTCAGTTTTGCTGCAACCGTGAGAAACGGAAACATCTGCTGTACATTAAATTAAAACAATATCCACTAAAATATAAAGGGAAAGACCAGAATCTCTTTAATACCTCTTGACTTCAGGCCTGTTAAAGATGATGTCCGTGTCAGTGCTTGTGAATTTCTTGTCGTACAGTTTTAGATCACGAAAAAGCTTGCCAAATTTCGCGTTGTCCATCGTAGCCTGAGCGTCCTTGCTTCCCGCACCAAAAGCACAGAAGGAATTAAATACAGTTTTAAGGTCGCCGTCAGACATTTTATAGGTTGATTTGCTGCTGAAAACTTGCAAAAATAAACGATGAACTCTTGTGAAAAATTCAGCAGGATTTAGCTAGTGCAGAATGCACCTGGATTATATGTATTCGCGTCGCGCTCACGCGTCATGTTAAGACAAAGGAAAAGAATGGCAATTGGCTCACGCACAAAATTGCATCGGTACCATAGTTACAGAGTTAAACAATAGAATATACTGTCTAATACTATTTGGAAGGGTCTACACTGTACATATTTTACCTTTTCAACTTTAAAACTGAGGTAATAAAAGTCACGGAAATATTTTCAACAAGCTCAGCGTAAATATGTCACGCAGTCGGGCCAGACTCCGCCCTTCGAGCACCTTCCTCGTGACGGCCTCACAGGAACGACAAAAAATAAAAACAAGGAGAAAACAAGCTATGGCTTAGAATATTTTGTTATCATTCTACGCAGCATAACAAAATAAAATGAAGCAAAATGAATGATTGAAAAATATTTTAAAAAAACATGGTACATAATCTGGTGCCAAGCAGATGACCTGTGACTAAATCTTTGGCGCACAGCGGTGTTACAAAACAGAACAACACCAAAATGGCTGCCCTGCAAGAAAGGAAATTACAAGAAGGGCAACAGCTCTTGAAAGAAGCGGAAAAATTGTAAGTCTTTTATTGATTTCACAGTTTCAGACATCGAGTATACTTTTCATAGGACATCTTTATAAAGATCAAAGTACACATCTTCGATTTGTAAGGGCGAGAAACCAGTGTAGATGTATAAGCTTAGCTTCAGTTAAAGAATGAATTAAAGACGACAATTTGTTTTTTCTCGTCGTCATATATTTTCTAAAGGTATTTTTACCTCGATGGTCATTGTCCTTCACTCTTTTCCAGCACACCCACCTCCCTCCCCTTCCCGGGTCCTAGCCTTATTTACTTTTGCAGGTTTTGAAAGTGATAAATCAAACCGTAAACCATTTTCTTAGTTAGAAGTAACAGTAAGGTTGATATAAGCTTGCTGTTACTATAAAGCTATAGCTAGGAAAGCTGCATATTTGAAATAATAAAAACTAATGAATTTCTTATGACATGCACAGGGCTTATGCATAAACCACTACAGTCTCCTTAACACTAGCCCTTTTCCAAGGCTAATTGTAGAGCTTATCTAATCTAGTGGGGAATAATGGGAGTGAGTGGTCTGTTATATCGTTTTTCTCCTCTTCTAATTTCCTTCTCTTTCTCCTCGTTTCAATAGGCACATATTTCGCGACACTTAAATTTCGGGATTTGGGAAATGTTATCTTTTGAATCACTTTAATTTTGCATTTTTTTGGACCACAATTTACATTTCACTGGCAATGTTGTCTAAGATGTCCTTTAATTAAATAAACTACTTTATCAAAGAAACAATAACGTCTAAATTAAGAAAAACACAAGGGCAGAACTCTATGTCAATTGTAACAACAAAGCAGTTCGCACAATTTTAAGTCCATTGACCACAACATCCATTTACACCCAAAATTCGTTCGTAAAGACTGAACGGAGAAAAAATGAACAGTAAAAATGTGATTTGGAAACATTTCACTGGTAATAAACTCATTCTTTTTTTGATATTGACTTTATAACATGAGTGTCACATAATTCACTTAATTTCACAACACTTATTGTTCGCGTCACTTTAATTTCACATGTTGTTTTTGTATCGCAAAATTCGTGAAGTTAATGTGTTGTGAAAATTTCTTGTAATAACGTAATACAAAAAAGGGATTTCTGAGGGTTTTAGGACCATCATGTTGTGACATTGTAACACCGACCCAGGGGAGGTTTTGCGTCCAGTGGTTTTTGTAAAATCAAGGGTTTGTGGGGGTTGCTCAGTCTCGCGGGCTTACAAAACCTCCATAGGACGATCTTCTTTTGTATTTGCGGTAATGCAGATGAGCAGATTTTCTTACTGGGGGAAGTGGCAAAAAAAGAAAAAAATTATCTAAGCTATTAGACACATGCGGAACATTTTCTGAGGGGATAAATATTTTTTTCAATGTATTTTACTGAGTTTTTTTCCACGGGTTAGGAATTTTTCTCATTACTTCAATCATTAGTGGTTAGGGATGTGAGCTAGGTGTATGTTAATGGTATGGCCCTAACAGTGGCAATCAATTCAGTTTTCATCCCAAATACTGTATGTTTGCCAGGTTTTATTAATTAGCAGTGGCTCACTTACCATAGGTCTGTTCAGAGCTGAATGGGGTGAGGGCAAGTTCATTTTTGAACAGTAAATAGTCACAAATCATACTTAATCACTAGTTTCAACATATTTGCTTCTTAAGTATGAAGACTAGTTGGTTGAAATGGAAGCCAGACTGGGATAGTGCTGCTGATAAATTCATGAAAGCTGGTATGTATTGCATTACATCTTAAAAAGCTGTCCTCCTCTATACCTGTTATCTGAGCAACAAGATTAATGGTAAAGGACTACATCTTTGCAACATCTTTTTAAATTGTTGTTATTTTAGAACAGATGTTAAAGAACCTTTTTTCCAACAACATTTTTTACATTTAACTTGATTGTCACAGGAATAATTTCCCTATATCTCTAATTTAAAAGCGAACTTGACATTATGAGTTGCCTGCACACACAGACCCTTGTATACTTTTATATTTTCCATTTTCTCATTTCTCTGTTTTTAGTTGAAAAATAATTATATCCTGAATAAAATGATATTTAATCCAAAGGGCATTTGTTATTATTTATTAGTTTCACTACTATCTTACCTTATCCCCATTTATTTCTTAATTCTTTTATAATCAAAATTTATTTATTTAGTATAAATCTGTACTGTACTCCATATCAATTGAAAAAAAGTAAAAGACAAAATACAGATATGTACAGCATTTTTTCTTTTTCAAACTCTTCTAAATCAAGTGCTTATAAACGTTTTACTTGAACAAAGTTTTAGATGCATACTATATACGCCATTTAACGCTGCCTTTAATACTAATAGTGAAGATTGTTATTAATATTGTTAATTGTGTTGTTTCTGCAGGTACATGTTTTAAAGCTGCCAAATGTTATGACAAGGCCAGCAATGCTTTCAAAAAGGCAGCAGATGCACACTACAGTTCTCATGCGTATCCTAAATTATTGATACCTCCAAAAAATAGCTGAGTATTAGTTTTACAGTGTAGTTTAAGCTGTAGAGCGGCAGCTAGTTTTTTAGTCAGCAGATGGACATGTATCTTTTCCTTGACACAGCTTGATATTAGACTGTTCCATGCAGCTAAGTAAGTATATGTAGATAGTTAATGGTTTAAGTATATGTGCAGACTTCTCTTTTCTCTCTAAAGGATCTAAGAACTGAATATTAGCTATAGCATAACTAAATCTTAATCTAAATTGGTTACTGTATCAATCTCTCATACATATAGGGAATAAAATGTTAGGAGATATGGGATATTAAAGTAAAAATTCAAATGTGGAGGCACAGGAGATCTCTTTCTAATTTTTAGGCTTCACTGTAAAAATTGCTTTAAAGTAACAGATGCCTTTTTGGAGGGGGCACTGAGATGTATTACCTACAGTTGATTTTCACATGCCAATGAAAACAGTGTTTCAGTGCCCACATATTTTTTACAGGAAATGGTCTGTTCAGGCTGAGAGTGTCAATTATGTTGTTCCAGGATATCACAAGTTTTTGCAGCAAATTATATTTTAAGTCATTAAGTTTATTAACCTTTTTTAATGCCCATCATTTTATTATCTCTTACTTCATAATTTGTCTTTCTTGGCCTTCTCTATACAAAGCACATTCATTACCAGCAATATCTTTGTACTAATTGTATAATTTATGGTATGAGAGTGTAAAGGGTTTGTGATAAAAAAAAAAAATACCACAGCATAATCTGTTGTTTGTATCAACACAATTCCTAACAGAGCATTAGAACAGGCTGCCTCAGTTCAAAAAGAAATGAAGAATATTTCAGAAGCTGTATCACTAGTGGAAAGAGCAGTGTAAGATAATAGATTATTATTAAGGGGGCAGTGAAAAACGCAGACTGCGAGCTGCCAATGTGGACTATTGTTTAAGGGTTAGAAAACAATGGGACTAGTGTTGTCACATACTCATTTGTGTAGTAAAAACAATAGTCCGCAGTCTGCATTTTACACTGCCCAGTTAATGAAGTTTTTAAGAAAAAGATCATGTACACTGTAGTTGCTGAATGGTAACAGAAAAAATCTTGTGATTGAAAGCATTCCTGCTCATGTTCAAAAAAGGTTTTATTTAATGGAACTACTGAAAATTCAGGATTTGATTGGCAGCTACTAAAAATGTCATTGCTAAAAGATGATCAGCTTCATTAACAGTGATCACCTTAAATGTCACTGTTCAATAAAATCTAGTTAATATTAGTGGTCTATGGTAGATACAAAAGAATCACTTGGCAGTACTTTCCTCTTTAATTCTTCTTATTTTTTTAATCATTTTCATTAACAAGGCATTACGTATTAGCATGCAATTAAGCCTTAATTAATCTTACCAATGATTATTTATTACAATCTAAGACATACACTGAACATTTAGAACAGCATTAAAATAAATGGAAAAGTTTATTAAAATGATGTTCATGAAAATATAAAATTAATTATCGTCAATTCCTGTTTAGAAAGCAAAGATTTCAAAATCGACCCTGCTCTTGCGGTCTCTTGCCAAGTGCATCTACCCATATACAGGAATTAACCAAAAATGGTAAAATATACAATTTGTTTCAAAATATCTCCAACGTAGTTTTGATATAGTTTTTATATTATTGTTGTGTTCAATGTAGTGACATGTACAGACAGAGTGGTTCTCCAGATACAGGTGCCCTAGCCCTTGTAAGAGGTGCCAAGTAAGTCCACTTCTCATTACCGTAAACTGCCATTTTTTATGATTATATGTTTTAGTAAGGGTTTTTTTTTAAGGGCTTACATGTACTTGAAGGGGGACACTCTTACATTTTCTCTAAATTCAACCTGCTTAATATTGACACCCCATTGATACAGACACTCTCCCCCCCCATGGTTCCTTATTAACAGGCCCCCCAGGTTTGACCGTACTGGTTTCAAACTAAGCTTCAAAATGTCATCATAAATCAAATTCATTTCAATACAAGCCCGAGGGAGGCTTATACGTTGTAATCAGTTGTATTTTTCATGGGTCTATAACTGGTAGGGCTTATAAGCGGAGGGGCTTATAAGCAGCAGTTTATGGTTTCTATTTTTATATTTATGTAAAAGGTTCTAAGTATTTAATTATCTTTTTCAATAAATAGTTATTTGTGTTCTTAGCGTATATTTTGAAAAAAAAATCTAAAAAATGTAACATTCATTTCAAATTAATGATCCTGACCATTTCTTTCTAAAAGAGAAGGTTGCCTTTGGAGAAAAGTTTAAGTTAAACTTTTTTTATTAATTTTGTTCTTTTTGTCAATGCTTGTAGGATGTGTGATTCAAGTGATCCAGCTAAAGCAGCAGAGTTATACATTTTAGCCAGTGAAATGAATGTTGTATGTATTTTGTATTCAAAGTTTCTCTATTAAAAATAGATTAAGTCAGTGTAGTATCAGTCAAGGTTAGAAGTAATATATCAAGTAGATACGCAGTGTTCCATCACCAGATGAAACATTAAGAGTTGAAAATACGATGCACAGCGGAGTATTTTTGACGAACTTCAATGTATTTCATCTGGTGATGAAATGTCGAATGCTTGATATTACTTCTCAAACAAAATTATTTTAGAAGATGCAAAAGTGAGCAGTTTTTCATCTGATTTCCAAACATTCGGTAAAATAATATTAATACCTTGTACAAACTGAGTTTAATAAAAGTCTGTGCCGAAGATTGCGGATTGAGTTTTTCCCATCGGTTTACTGCTCATACAATTCACACGTGGCCATAAATCAACAGGAAAATCAAGGATCCGTTTTTTTGTTGTGCATGAGGGAGGGGGGCCATTTATTCAAATATGACCCACAAAATTGGAATTTGGAAATGTTGGTTTTTGAGGAGAGGGGGAACCAGAGTACCCAGTGAAAAACCTCTCGGAGTAAGGGTCGAGAGAATCAACAGCAAACTCAACCCACATAATTATGGCATCCACACTGGGATTTGAACCTGGGCCACACTGGTGTGAGGCAAGTGCTCTCACCTCTGCCCCATCCTTCTTCTCTGTTATGAGTCAATATATATTATTATTTTTTTATTCATTCAAACTGGACTTCTTTGTAACACACCTGCCACAACACATATGATAATTAACAATTATTCCTCAAGCCCGAATGGGCTCTGAGTCAATAGCCCATGAGGCCGAAGGCCGAATGGGCTATTGACTCAGAGGCCATGAGTGCAAGAGGAATAATTGTTTTAGTAAAATCCAACTGGTTGGTCAAAAATATCGAGAATAAAGAAATTTTAGCTAGTTAAAGCTAGACTTTAATCCTTTTTTGCCGCCAAGTAGCCCGCGCTTTTTGCTGCTAGTGGGCTATAACATATAGCCTAGTAGTAGCTCAACCAATCAGAACACAGCATTGATAATAGACCACTGGCTGGATTTTACTACTGATATTTATTCATAAGTATAAAGGGCAGATATATGCACAGAAAAATAATAAGCTGAATGTTATGATTCATAAAGTAACCGGTTTTAAAAGAAAAACATTTGGACTGTTGTAGAATAGCAGATGACTAACTTATTATGACAATTCTTTTCCCCTCACATTTTGAAGGCAGAGGACAAGATTCGAGAGGGTATTGAACCTTTGTCAAAAGCTGCAAACCTCTTTGTAAAGTTAAAGAGGTAGGGCTCATTCTTTTCAGTTGTTGAAGGGAGATAGGGGAACAATTAGAAATTCAGTAATGTCACCCTGGCATATCTTTAGTAGACCCATGACAGCTGCCATGACCCAAAGAGCGCTGGTTGCTAGTTTAACCATGTTAAAATAATTATTATTTCAATCAGATTTTATTTTTTAGAGTTAAATGTATAACGTACGCAATAGTTTTGTTGTGGAGTTGTTACCCTTCTATGTGAATGGCATCGTCCTTTACCACTAGCGCTGACGTCTACTTTTTAAATTTTTTTTTGAAATATTTGTTATTATGCTGCAGATTTCAGGAGGCTTTGAATGTCTTCAAACAGCAGATGAAACTGTACGAACAGGTGGAAAATTTTCAAATGATGTACAAGGTAATGCACCCTTGCGTAAATTTAGACTCTACAACACAGAACATGGCGTGTAACTTCTTACATTGAGTGATACCCAAAAAAAAGATAGAAATAAATTGTTAGATGTGGCAGGAGGACAGTAAAGGCTTGGACAATATTGATAGATGAATGAGTTAATCTGAAAACGAAAAAAATGTCGCGTGGTAAAGAATGTCCAAGGCCGGATTACTCAAAGCTAGGTTAAGATAACTCCGGTTAGTGCGAAGTTTGAATTCAAATATGAAAGCTTAAAACGCAAAATCAGTTGAATTCTTTTTGTCTACAATTTGATGATGTGGACGCTCTTAAAATAACATACAATTACAAAAAATTATCCAAGAAAATGCTTTGGAACAAAGAAAAGAAACACGGATTAGAATTTAACCCCGGGTTAGTGCTAATCGCCCTTCGAACAACTGGGCACTTCAGGGGCGTAACATTTTTTTAAAGCTATTTCAGTTTGGATTGGATAATAGAAATTTCTCATTTTTTAGTTTCACTCATAAATAGGAAAAACTCGCGATGAAGCTCTATTAAGAAGGTCTGCGGCTGCCTAAGACGCTATTAAAACTGGTTGCGGTAAAAAGTAACGGCTTGTTTTTTTCAATTATTTACAGGTTGTTCTTAGTATGGTCGTTGTTCACCTTCATGAAAGCGATTACGTAGCTGCAGACAACTGCTACAAGAATTCTTTTGAGTATGTTATTGTATATAAAGTTGCACTACATGTTTTGACTTAAAAATATAAGAATGTTCTGGGTGGATTGTTAAAGGTAAAGGTCTTAATTTTACGTCGGTAACTGAAACTCGAAACAGTGTTGGGGAGCTTAAGCAACAACGATGGCGACGGGTACTATTAAAAACGCCACTTGAAAAGTGAATTCGCGCCGCCTCAAACTGTATCGCGCTTGTCAAATTCGTTGCGTAAGTTTGCACACCCCGTTGTATGTTGTTGTGGGTTGTTGGGTGTTGTTGCGCAAAGTTTGAAACCGGTCAAACTTTTAGCCCCGTGTGACATAGTCAGGGGCACCCAACGAGAATATAGGCATATTTTTATCCCCTAAATTTTTTTCATCTGTTCGGATTTCCTAGCTGAAAGTCTAGTGATCCGAAAATTACTGGAATCAAAACTTACCTTTTCGAAAATTTCAGCCAGAAAAAAAGCTCCCGAAAATTCTAGGTGACCTTTTAAGGGTAAAAATCCGTTAAAAATGGGCAACTATATTAGTTTTTAGATGTTCGAAAATCCTAGGAGAGGCAGGCAAGCAAAGAATTTTACCACAAATGTTCCGAAAATTCTAGATCTCAAATCGTCTTCCGAACAGATATTTGTCCGAAAATTGTCGTTGGGTGCCCCTGCATAGTTGGGAGTAGTCGGTTGCGTCCGTTTGCACGTAGCTTTGGAAATGCTAACCTGGAAGAAATCTTCACAGAAGGTTTCGTCGCTACGAGAAGCTAATTGCAGTTTTGAAAATGTGTTCGCGATTTTTCTGCTTTGAACAAGTAGAAGCGAAGCGGCAGAGCAGAGCCGGACGAAACGTAGCGTTTGAGACTTGAAAATTCCGTAGACTAGCACAAATTCTCTAAACAGTCAAGGGGTATGAGGCAAGTTTGTTGTTTTTTTTTTTTTCTGTTCCTCTCATGTTGCCGTGCGTCTGTTCAGTAATGGATCACAGTTTATGACAAGACGAGGTAAAAACAAAAACGTGGCACACGAGCCGCAGGCCAGAGTAGAGTCTCTTTGTTAAATAGCAACCATACATCCCATCACTGCAAGTGTACTTATTTTTCTCTTCAGGATTCCCGGATTCGGTGGCTCAGATGAAGCAGTCGCCGCAGAAAAAATTTTGGATTGTTTTGACGGGGGCGATGGTGAGGGAATGAAAGCTTGCACATCACAAGCTCTCTTCACCTACTTGGACAATGAGGTTAATATTTAGATGCTTTTACTACGACATAAACTAAAATTACGTGACGTTACGTAACTGTTAAGTCAATAAAACCAGAAACGACAAAAAAACTCAAGTCAGTACTATTGTGACGTTTAGGGTCAGTCGGGGACGACTACGAGAAAGAGAGTTTTTTCGATACCAAGTAGTGTGTGCACGTGAACCAGCGTCATTTCGGCGGGAAAACGTGGTAGGCATCGTCATTCTACTACGAGTTTTAGCGAGAATGTCGCGATGAGCATCCTCGGAGACCTAGGGGCAGTCAGTTGTAGGTCGGGAGGAAAGGCTCGACGAACCGAAGATACGTAGTGATGGAAACAAGTTATCAATGGTTAGAATTTTTTTCATTTTGCGATCGGGAGGGCTCCTTCAATAAAAATAGCCCTGCTAACTTTTATGGTGAATAAAAAAGTACAATGCAGATTTCAGGCGTGTATATTCTTTTCACAATAACGAAAAACCTTCAAGTTAAATCTCGCCCTGGTTATGTTTCTAGAATTGTTTGTCTTCTTTAGTTCCTTGACAAGTTTTATTAATTGCTTCTATGATCATTTCCTGCAAAATCCTTTTAAAACAAGCACGGCAGAACGGAAATATTCATCTGTTTTACAGTTTTTCAAATGATTTTTCAGATTGCCAAGTTGTCCCGCAGCTTGCGTGTTCCAGGTGACACAGGTAACAAAGGAAAGACAGAGAGAAAACCGACTCCAACCCTGAATGCCTCTGTGAAAACCGAGACACAAATTCCCAACCCAGTGTCTACTACACCCACGTATCAGACAGAACAAGGGGGAAACCAGGAGGAGCTCGATGATGATCTTGAAGAAGGTGGACTTTGTTAGAGTGTTTTCTCGTAACAAAGCCTTACTCAGACAAATAATCGCAGAAGTTTTCAAAAAGGAGAGACGCATAGTCTCCCTCGCGCGCAGCCGTCAAGCAGCCGTCACGCAGAAGGAGCCCGGGCAGGCAGCTGATAGTTTTTTTGGCATAATTGTCAGTGAGAAATAATTTAAAAGATCTTCTGCCCACGCGGAACGCTGAGGTGAGGTCATAGCTCAGACATTGTACTAAATTTATTTTTATGATGATATTTATATAAATTACTGACAATCTTTTGTGTATTTTTAAATCAGTTATGGTTAAGGAGTAAAGTTTCCAAAGAAACTATTTTGTCTTCAAGGGAGTGAAACACATATTAGATTGCTTATAAATTGCCCATTTAGGCTATCCCAAAATGGATTAGACCTAAAAAGCTAAAAAGACCTATCATGTGTAGCTTTGAAAAGTAAAAATAATTTAAATTCTGATCTTGATTGTCTTTTGCGTTTTATTTATCATTCAAGTTTGATACTTTTTCGATCGAAAATGATGCAGTGGACGTTACATGGCATCTCTTGAGTCACTGAAATTTCGGCTGCGAGATGCAGCTGCATAACGTTAAATTTTTCTGTTCATTAATTCGATAAGAATGAACATTACTTCTGTCAATTCCCTTGGCAGCAACCTCCAATGCCTTGTCTGCCTTTTTATCCATGCTTCGGAGGCAGGCTCATTGCCCAGGGTTTAGGATGTTAAACAAATTAGGTTTACATGCCCGAGCCCCTGCCGGCCCCGATCAATCACTAGTTTTCGGTCTGAATTTGCCGATCTAAGGTTGATGACATTCTTTTATCCTGGCGCACTTAGACATAATGAGTGGACACAAGACTGTGATCTACATGTACGTTTCACTTGGTTTAATGTTCATCTGTGTTTCTTTATCAACATTTTATTACTTGCTTTCGTTCATAATTAGAGTATAAGCTCCTAATCGAAGGAAACCACGTCTTTGGTTTAAAACCGATTTTCTTAGGTAGAAAGTGTGGTCTTGTCCATAGGTTTTGGGTTTGCAAATGGCGAAGAAATGATTATTTAAACCAGCTATTATTTCTTTCAAGAGATGATAAAGGTTGACTTGACTCTAAGCACGCTTAAAAAGTCTTCTGTTGCGCTTTACAATCAGTGTATGTATGTTTTTATCACACAATTACACAGAGAACATGGACAGTAAGTGAATTAACCACAGCAACCGTGAGTTGCATCCTTTATTTCTACTTTACTTATGGATTAAAACCACCACCACTAGTTTAATATGAGTTCCAATGTTATGTGTTCGTCTCTCTGAAGAAACTGGTGTCAGAATAAAACCATGTTAAATCTGTAGAGGTGAACTCAAACTTCATCGTCGAGATAATCGTAATATTCGGCCTAATCTTCTAACATCTTCATTTTCATCCCCCTGTCCTTTCCCATCAGGACATCATCTTGGCCAGGACTGATATGGTTTTTCTTGTGCAATCCGCGGCCCACACGACGACGTCGCCAACATTCACTGTAAACGGCATACTTGACGTTATTAATCTAATTCGTTCAATATAGAAAATAAGAACTATATTGGCACACGGCTATAACGATAGGAAAGGTACGTTAAACGGGAATTTCTTGGTCCGTTTTGCACAAAAAAAGAATGTTACTATTCTCAAGGGTATAACGGGAGTTTGTTGGCTTATTAACACTGCGAAGCGATACTTACAAGGACTGTATTGATATCGCAAAATGATACCCCTATTAACACAATTACTACAATCCACTTGTCCTCTATGAAGCTGGAATTATGATTGGTTCAGTGCCGAGCCCTTTCGAATTTCTCCTCTCATCACATACTTGTCACACTGGCCAAATATAGATAATCTAGCCTTTATCTGAAGGAAAGGACGCAAGGGTGTGGTTGAGAGGAGTGAAATCTACTGGAATCACTGGAAATCTCTGATAAGTTAAACTGTAATATTTATTGTATGAACGGGTAAGTAGGAGAGATGAAAGCCAATGGAGGAGACAGTGGCAGATCTAACGGGGGGGGAAGGCTTCCAGGGTACCCGTGCCTCTACCTTATTTAAAGACTTAACTGAAGCGCGCAGGAACAGCAAAAACCAATTTCGAGATCGGTACCCCACCCCTTTTCATATAAAGATCTGAATCCGGCTGCCATTGCTTATCTTCTTACTTAACCTGCCAGCAAGCTCTCCAAGACGCGAGCCGTGAGAGAACGCGAGAGCGCAGTCGGCAGGATCGTTCGCGCGAGGAAAGATTTTGCAGAGGAGCTGACTCGCGACTCCCCCAAATGGAGAGCCTGCTCGCTGGCTACTTCTTACTCTTTTATCTTTAAAGAGGACCCTCTCAGTAAAATGTCCCTTCCCACATTATTTGTCTCCAAGCCCTAGGGGTATAGTCTTTAAAAAAAAAAGACAAAAAACAAAACAACATACCTTTCATGCAAGGAGCAGATAACAAGACTTACAACAAGAAATATCGCCAGCATTCGTCCCATGGTGAAACTTCAGATTTTCAACTGTGAAAACAGTATTATCAAGTCTTATTTATTTAGATGTAGAAAGTCAACTTTCTTTGCGGGAGTAAGCTGTGACCAAACTAAAAAAAAACTAATTCTCTTTAGTATTATCAAGAGCCTTAAAACGGACACTAACAAGAGTAGAAAAATATAAAGTAACTTTGCAGCTCTACTCTACTAATTTGTAACCGTTTCTGACCTTTTTATGTTAATTTTAATTGCAGAAAACGGAACATCACTTTCCACTTACCAAATTCGCCTTGCTTCCCAGCTGTAGTGCTTTAATTCACCGTGTTGCAAAAGATTTTTAATTGTTGCCTTTAAATAGTTTTAAGAACCGATCATAGCTGATAGTTGATCAATCTGTGCTGATTGGCCTGATTCCATATCGGGTAACCCTTCCGGGAGGAAAGAGATACCGCAGAATCCAAGGAAGTATACTTATCAAACCCGGCATCTGAGAGACTTGAGTATCTGACCGGAATAAATTTATTTTGGCCCATTCGTTATGATTGGTACCTGGTAATTATTACACCAGCGGCGTCCTTGTTAGTACTGTTAAAAGCTCAAGGAGTTTAAGGCCTGTGTCAAAGGTGTACTCGGGGCATAATGATTGATTGACAATATCTCTCGCTAGGAGACCCAGATCTTCTTGCGCCTTAACGTTTAATTATGGTCACATGACACGTCACGTGACCAAAAATTGAAAATGAAGGAAATTGGCGAATTGACGGCGAATTTACTTTGTTTGTTAGGATAAGATAAATATACCTAATTTTCTACGTTTGGAATGAAAGTACGTTTTAAAATTTAAGTCTTAATTATTGCAAGATTAAATTAGGCCATTTAAAATGATGTTTTCCCTCATAATTTTTGAAGTGCAATGGACGGTCATTCCAAATGTGAAGTGTTAGAAATATTTAATATGAATGAGAAAACCTATTAGACCCAGGCCTTAAACTACTTAAGAGGTTAAAGTAAAGGCAAAAACAAGTGTTTTCATAAACAATCATATTACATAATAACTTCGTTTTTTGTTGGTAGGATAAGAAAAGGCTTTTCTTAACATAAGTCATACAAAAGGTGCCTTTCTTTTCGGATAAAAGCCACAAACCCGTTTACACTCATTCATTTGGCACGTTTATTGGGATTTCATATATCTTTATCAGAACAGGCTAAATGTGAATACCGGCGAAAACAGGCCAATTGTCTTGTTTTTGTTATGCTGACAGACCCCGTGTAACGGGTCAGAAATCTTTGTCAAGATGGGGTAAAGAATTGCTTAAAAAAAAGGCACAGTAATAAAGGATGATCTGCGGTCAATTATTTAATGGGAAGTGTAGAGTCCATTCCTCAACAAAAAAAATGGTTTTCAAAAACATATTTGATTAAACCCTCAGGCTTCATTCAGTGTAATAATGATGATTCTAATCTACTGTCTCAATTTTCAACCATCCTCATACAGGCTAATCTTTGAACAGAGACAAGAAAAGATAACATGGAGAATGATATAATACTGTGATGTGTGCTAGAATTTTCGGAAGTGCCTAGGGTGGCTTCCTCCTCTCTTTTGCATTAGCGAACACCCCAAGCACAAAAAAGACTTTTAATTAAAATGATAATGATGATGATAATTAGAAGTATCCTTCTTGGCAAAAATCCTTAGGCCTGTTTTCATATGTTGGGAAAAATGTATGAAAAGACTAGAATGCTACCATTGCGAGCTACTGCTGCTGCTTTCCTCAAACTACTCAGGAAAACCCACTGTTAAAATTGAAGATTAGTAAAAGTCATTTGTTATGCTGTGGGAAATTGGGTGGGCTGTAGTGTCTGTTATTGTTAACCGATATCTTTTTCAGATCTGTAAGTGCACCACTATGGAACGTTGTCACGCGATTTAGCAAATTCAGCCACTGAGAAATGGCCACTAAAAATTGAGTGAAACATAACAAAAATAACCACTGAAGAACAAAGGAGAATGGGCCAAATTGAGAGACTAACAACAGATTGCATCGGAGAACCGTAAAAATGACTCAGATACAGCCCAGCTGATTTAAAAGTCACTTAGAGATAAGAAATATATATATTTATTATATAAACACCAATGAAATACCAGGTAAGCTTTCGCGCGAAAACATGATATCTTCACACGTTATTTTCACATGTGAAAAGATCACCGTCGCTATGGCTACATAATAAATCGCGCGTTTCGCAGCAAAACAATATTTATGAAATGGTTAAGCATTTCATTGGTGTTTATATAATAAATAGAACATTACATGGCCGCTTAAAGATACGAAATTTCTCTTCGAGTGTTGAAAAATATTTCACGAGTGATCCCCTCTATATCTCTGTTGTTCTTAGCTTTGAATTGATTTAAACTTTGAACGTCATTTTTTGTTAGGAGGATGTGAGTTTGTGTGAATTTACAAGAAGTTTCATCATGGGTAATTGGCACAACTAAGCAAAAAAAAACACGTCGCCGTGTCCCTTCTGGACCCTTACCCAAGTTCACTTCATAATCAGTATATTTAACTTCGCTCTTACGTAATAGACTTCAATATGATTACCTGAAGCGCTGGTTGTCAGCATAAAATATGTTAACATATGCGTACAGTTCACCTTGAAGGCGGTTACGTATCCTGTTCACAAAAGTTCTGAAAGGGCTCTTTTCCTTTCTCCTACATTGAGTGCTCGAGTCCCGATAACTTGCTGAGACAAAGCCGTTAAGGCCAATAAATTAAAATGAACTAAAATCTCTCGATAACGATATCATTCACAAAAGGTCGGTAACATCAAAATGTCTCGCTGAAAGTGTTAAAAGTCTTGTTTTAAGATTTGTATTCTTTTCTTTAATCTCAGTCTGTCAGTTTAATGATGCATTGCTTAAATAGGCGTCGATTTGCAAGAAAGCAATAAATTTTACTTCGCCGTGGATATCACTTGAAAGGAGGCGGGTTCATAATAGTTAAGATTTTGATGATTCTGGAGTTCCTGTGCTATAACTGTTGAATTGCTCAGTTCACACGTGTTCATTTGGGGGCTGAAATTGAATGACTTGCAGTGTTCTGTCAGCAGACATAACTTCATGCATCCAGTGACATCAGTTGCATTCTCTGCCGATACCACGTGACCAACCAACGCCTTACCAAGGCCTATCAGAGAAAACAACTTGTTGGGACCTACGGGGAAAAAGGGCTCATTGAATTACCTTAGAAAAGTGTTTACTCGGATAAAGTTTCTTGTAACGTCTGCCTAATAGTAATTTACAATTTTGTAGCGGATGCATATTTGCAAAAAAATGGCAGTTATGCCATACGGAAATGCCGTATTCATTGTACTTTCTAAGTTACTCAAAGTTCAAACTTTTGGAATAAGATAAAAAGGTTTCGAAGTCCTTTGGCAGAGATGAACCGCATATTAGGAAGCAATCGTTCGGATTTCTTTTTTTGCTTGCCGTTTAACTTCTTTAATTTGTTCTTTTAAGTCAACACTAGGTGAGCGCGTGCAATAGAGAGAGATGAATTTAGACCAGATAATGTCTATTAAGAGATCTTGATGAGAACTTAAAGTTAAGCCCGAAATTGGGTCGTGTGAAAATGTACAAGGAGACTTTTTTGGAGCTGGACGAATTTTGATCCACTCGTCCGTGAAGCATAGAAATGGTGAATAGAGAAAGCGACACTGTCACCAACTGACAGAACCAAAACATGATTTCCACTTACACGACATCAACTAGCCTGCAGTGCAGGCATATTTTCAGCGGGCGAAAAGCTGCTTGTTTAAGTTAGTTTAAGTTAGTATTGTTGTAGCCGCCACCTTTGTTTTTATGACAGAACAACAATGGGGAGGGTAGAAATAGCGACCCTTAGGGTAAGTGCTAGGTTGAAAGAAGGAAAGGGGGAGGAGGAGGGGAGAAAAATACCTCCCTCGCCCCATTTCCTCCTCTCTTTTGGAGTTTCAACAATCAAAACAATTCGAGCTCCCAAAGAAAGCGCCTGAACTGCAGGCTTAGACTTCGACCCACTACCACGCCTAACTTCAAAAGAAAAAACTTGATGTTTTACCTTCTGGCCAAGGTTCACCATAAATCTCCATTCTTGTGCAGGGCCAAATGTGCCATTTTAATGGGACAAGGCGGATATACCTGGCATAAATCACTGGAACATTGTTCTTTTTGACGTCACAACAATTGGTATTTCCCGTAGAAATAGCCTTTAGATTAAGGATAATCAATTATCAGGTTCAATGTGTTACTGGTATTTGTTTATAGTTCTTCATAATCATAGCTTTTAATGCGTCCACAGTGCTCTAAAGTTAATAATTTCACTTGTGTCCTAACCGAGCGAAATTCTGAAAAGGGTGAACAGTCGTGATAATATCACAGTACCGGTCAAACTGAAGCTTCCACATCCCCCTAAAGATTTACCTCCGGCACTTGACTATTTGCCGAGCGCGGGGGTACTCCCATATATGTTGGGTTATGTAGCCTGTGTAGCAGGCTTCGAAAAGGGGCGGGGGATTGGTACTCATGGGAAAAAGGGAATGAGTTTGGGGAGAGACGGTCCCTTTTCCCGCGCTTTTTGCCCTTTTCTCCCTGTCTCCCTGCCCCTCCTCAGTTTTGCGCCTGCCAGGCAGGCTATGGGCTACGTGGGTATGTGCCGCTCAACAGGGTATGGTTTTTGCCCCTCTGACTCTGAAACAGCGTATAAAAATTACCCTTTTATCTCTTTTATCTCTTCCCAAAAATCGCTGACATTATTGAGGAAGCTTTAGTGCAAGACTACTCTTCTTCCTCCGAGTGAGTTCTTCTCGTTTTACAAATGATGTCAGGGGCAGAGTTGCAAACTCAAACAGGAACAGGCCCAGAGCCTCAAAAACTCAGCGGCACACCTCCATAGTAAATTTCAGTGAGTACCCTCCCCCCTTTCCCCCAACCCCGCATTGCTGTGCCGGCTGGAGTTCAAAGTCCGTCCATGATTTGGAATTGAATAGGGAAGGAAGAGAAAATAAAAGACGCCGACTTGATTCTCAGTTATCGTTCTCAGATGGTGTGAAGTACGGTGATTAGTAGTGGTATTATTACCATATAAGAACCCAGAGAATTTTAAAGGGCAAAGCCATCAGCTTATCGACTTACCGAACTAAAATTCAGACAATTTCAAGCATCAAACGTTCATTGCCAAGCAAGAAATACAAACTGATCGTTTGACGTGGCATTTGAATCGCCATCGGCTGGTTTGAATAACACGAATGTTGTATGTACTGATTTTTCATGATAGAACTTAAAGGCACTTCTGGTAGAAAGAGACGTATATACCTTTGCGCTTGTTTCCCATGTGATGTTATCGTTAGACCACCCAAGTTTAATTTCTTTCAAATAATCTTTGTTTCCACCGGGATTTCCTTGTGTAGCTACAGCACACATTCGGTATAGTCGACCAAGATCAATCTGAATGGGATATTAAAGAAGATAAAGGCTGCATCAGCAGAAATGTTCTGGTAGGCTATGATATAAGATCTAATATTTTATTTGTTAAGATTCGTTGATAAATATATGGCAGTAAAAACATGCAAAAAGATCCCGAGAATTTCTGTGAGAGGCTTGGATGGTTTGGGAGGTTCATCCGCAGGGTTCATCCTCATTCTTAATCCGAAGAGCGAACTAAATTTCTCACTGTAAATCAGGTATGTTATAAAACGAATGCTTCAAAACGCTAATTCACTGTATATCAAATATTTATGACTCTTTTTACCTGAGCCCATTCAGTTAGCTCGATATCCCCTGTGGGACACCACGCAGAGATGTTTGCGTTTAACCTAACGAAAGGTACTTTGGCGAAATCATGTTCACTTGACGCGGTCATTTGGGAATCAAGAATTACACCCGTCTCCATGCCAATGGCTGGCGCGAAACACTCTATAAAAATCAATACGAAGTGTTTTGTAATCCAGTTAAAACGAGATTAATCTATCTAGTAATCTACTTAAGCATTTATATTTTTATATTATTTGACTGTATCGCCTAATGAAGTCCTGCAGTTTTGCGCGGTCGAAACTTCGTGATTAAAGTCTGAGGGACAATCGTGAGAAAAAAGATAAACGAACCTTTATTATACACATTAAGCACGATGAACAATATCTTTCATGACATTTAGTTAATTCAGCTGTTTGAAATTGAAGCTACGACTGATCGCATAGCCATGGATGGGTATTTTATTTGCCCAATATTTTTTGGTTAGGCAAAGTTAACCTTCATCAGGGGCTAGAAAACCTAAGTGTAAATGAGACAAACAGTTACAATAATTAAAATAATACAGAAATGAGGATAAAATGTGATCGTAGGAGAAGGACAATAGACGGAAACCTGTATATAGAGGTTGTACTGCAGGACTTCATCTGGCGATAGAATCGATTTACCGGAATGGGGCTATTTGTCCCACCGTGGTTGTTTCGAGTTGTTAGTGATATTCAACCTCTTCCCGTCCCTGCTTCAAAGAAGTCTTTTGGCTTTACATGGTATTTTTCTTTATATCGCGACCTTGATCGTAGTAGATATTAGGCAAGCTTAAGTGCATGTATGTTGAAAAGGAAAGTTTTCTTTATTTTTTAGTTTCGATAGAGTCAATGTACAGCTGTTTTCTGTTTTTTTTCGCATAAAATTTTACTTTACCTCCCTCTTCTCCATTTGAGTTCACAGCCTGTAAGTCAAAAAACATTGACGCGAAGAAAAGTTAACTGCTTTCAATATATAAAGCCAGAGGCTAGCCAGCCTTTCTGCCGCTTTATCGAAGCCAGGTCTCTAGAGCGTTGCGAGACGTAAAAGAGAAGGTAAAAAAAGAGAGAGAGTAGCGTAATTATTCCTACATGACCAGGTTGAGGAACTATGGGAATAACACTATTAAAATTAGAAGGAAGAAAGAATAGAAACTAGTAATAGTGAGAGGTAGCGAGCTAGGAGCTTGGGGGATACATAAAAGCCGAACTAAAGCGAATAACCTGCAATAGAGACAAATCAAGAGACTATAAAGGGGACAGAGAGGACATCCCCCATATACACCCTATTCCATAGGTAATTCGTCTCGAGTTATTTTTAGAATCGGGATAAAGTTACCTCGCGCGAGGCGTGGATGTTTCGTGGAGGTTTCGCATGACCAAACGCCGTGCAAAACATGTCGGGCAAGAGGTAACGAAAGCGTAAAAAGATCGAGAGCATTCCCGAATATTGAAGCGAAATGAGTCTGCGCTCACCTAGGAAAAAGGAATCGCTGGACTCTTTGACAACCCGTGAAATCAGTTTAACTCGAAGTTGTCGTAACCTCAGTGCTTTAATAAAATGAGAAATTGCGCCGGTCTATTGAAACCGGTCGTTTGTACAATTTAGGGAGTTTAAGGTGGCTCGATACAGTTTTTCAGGGTCAATACCTCCCAAGTTTGAGCATAAACTACGTCGCCATAAACAAAGTTTTGGAAAAATTGCCACCACAGTTGTATTAGATAAAGATGAAAATTTGTTATGATCAGGGTTGCAACGGCATCGGAGTTGTCCTGGCAACGAAATGACGCTATTACCTATTTTACTTTCAGCAGTATATCTCGGCACTAGGAACTGTTCTTCCAAAATCGTTCACGGGAGCTTTTTCCTCCAATAGCGGCCTCGATGTTTGTGAAGTTTAAGCGAAATCTGTAAGAGCGTTATCGAGATATTTCGGGATGAAGTTTTTATGGTTAGAAACACAGTAAAAAATGGACAATATTGTTGTTTGGCCGTTATCTGTAAAAAATGAAACGCTTTTGACATGCAATTTCACCTCATAGTAGTTTCAATCTTTTTAAAAGCGTGTGTGAAAGATCATTTAGATAGCTCCAACCGATTGCTAGAAAGAAGGGTTTGAGTAGTATGTATCGAAGCGCTCTTGTTAGCGGTTTTGTAAACATTTTGGTCTTTTTAATCAAATTAGCGAATAATTTTTAAACCGCTTGATAGATTTTTAAAAAAATCTAAAATTCTTGAGATTAACCTTCCTTTTATATGACCTTTTAGTTTCAAGATTATTGATACATTGTAAGGCAGTAAAATAAGGGCTACAATTCGCTACTTTTTTATTGGAAGTCTCGTCATTACAAGAGAAAGCCCTCTCATTATTCCAGGCATAGTCTCCAAGTTTCATTTTCACGTGAACAGCAGTAACTAACAATGCATTTGACATATGCAAAATTGCTAGCTATTGTTGTGCACGAAGATATGAAACTTGGGGACAATACCCTGAATAATGAGAGGCTCACACTTGTAAACACAAAATTTCAGCCAAAATATTAGCGAATTGTAGCCCTTGATTAAAAAGACCAAAATGTTTACAAAACCGCTAACAAGAGCGCTTCGATACATACTGCTCAAACCCTTCTTTCTAGCAATCGGTTGGAGCTATCTAAATGATCTTTCACACACGTTTTTAAAAAGATTGAAACTACTATGAGGTGAAATTGCATGTCAAAGGCGTTTCATTTTTTACAGATAACGGCCAAACAACAATATTGTCCATTTTTACTGTGTTTCTAACCATAAAAACTTCATCCCGAAATATCTCGATAACGCTCTTACAGATTTCGCTTAAACTTCACGAACATCGAGGCCGCTATTGGAGGAAAAAGCTCCCGTGAACGATTTTGGAAGAACAGTTCCTAGTGCCGAGATATACTGCTGAAAGTAAAATAGGTAATAGCGTCATTTCGTTGCTATGACAACTCCGATGCCGTTGCAACCCTGATCATAACAAATTTTCATCTTTATCTAATACAACTGTGGTGGCAATTTTTCCAAAACTTTGTTTATGGCGACGTAGTTTATGCTCAAACTTGGGAGGTATTGACCCTGGAAAACTGTATCGAGCCACCTTAAGATCCAACGACGCACAACTAGAACGTCAAAAAAACAATGGCTTTAATTAGCAAAACAACACCTTCGCACGTGCAACACACTTTTTTGTTCATTTCTTTCCGGTTTTTGCACAACTACGACGTGAAAATGCCTAATTTCGCGTTTTATGGAGGACGTAAATAAGCAACGACGAAATTTTATTTCTCTTTCTGAGCTTGAATATGGTCCCTTGAAATTCAGCTTTAGGAGGGTTCGCCTACAATTGACAAAGTAAGTGGGTAGGAATAATCGCTATAAAAACTGAAAAAAATAAACATCAAACCAGAAATTGCTCTCTTCAAACTGTAAATTATAAATGATCATGAGAGAATATTCAGTGTATTAAGGATTTCCCTGCTCTACTGCTCTAGGGCGATTCTTTTTTTAATTTCGCTTTCGCTTTCGCAGAAATCTCGCTTAGTCGTTTTCGTCGACAAAAGGAATAGCAAAATCGCTCTCCGCGTCTTCCCCCATTTTGTTCTGCGTCATTTCGTGAAGGACGCGTGGCTCTCAGCGTGGGTCATCCACGCGGAACACATTCGCGCTATGTGATTGGCTGTTGTCTAATCCCCCTTGAGATCTGTGGTGTTAAAAATAACTCGAGACGAATTACCTATGGAATAGGTTGTATATGGGGGATGCCCTCTCTGTCCCCTTTGTAGTCTCTTGAGACAAATTCATTCTTTTAAGAGCAAAGTTACTACATTATGAAATCACAAATTACTTGTACAGCATAATAAAGTCTGTGGGTGGCTTGAGCTCATGTTTTCAAATTTAAAAAAACTCGCAGAAATTTGCACATTTACTAAAGCCAGATTATTAACAGGGTAAGATACACGGTCAGACGATTAGTTGTCAATCTTGGCAATTCCTGGAATAACTGATCTTTGTCACATAGATTACAAGGGCTCTACTCTCTGTCGACTTACTGCGCAAAGCATTACATAACATTTTCTATTACCATTATTATTATTTTTCATGCAAGAAAAAGCTCAGAAACGTAAAAATAGGTGAACATGTAACCAAACTACTTACTTACCAGAAACACAAAGAAGCTGAGCCAGGTAAGAGGTTTTAGTTGCATCTTGTTGTCACCTGATGGTTTATAAATCCGGAATCATTTTGCTAGAGAAGGAGAGCAGAGAACAGTGTTAGACGTATATAAGCGAAACTCATTTGGATACCAGTTGGCAGTGACATTAATTAAAATGAATAAATGTTGCGTTAATGGTCGCAGTCTTGCCTCATTATTGTTTTGCAGATCTGATAGACTGACTACTCAGGCTAGATCAGTGTCCAAGAAACGAAAGTTTCGAAAGATATTTCAGTCTTTATCTTGTTTAAGACAACGATACACTTGAAGTAATTTTCCTAATAAATTATTCAAGATTTGCCTCATGGATGAAATTAGTGCCCCAGAATGGTGCCTAAATGTCACAAAATATTTAAGATTCATAATAAACAAATAAGAGAAAGTGAAGTGTGAAAAGCGAGTTGATGTGAAAACCTTGTATTTTTCCGAAATAGTGAAAGTTCATCACACATTTGTCAAGGCTAAGCTGAACCAATCACCAAAATTGAACGCGCATGCGGGATAAAGGCTCACTGGCCTTGAGGCAAGAGGTACACCATACCGGATAGCTCTTACAGAGGCACGAAAACCATGATACCGGACCAGGACAGTTCTGTTCACATATAAGAACGATGATTATGCCACGATTTCTGAAACCTACGGAAGCTGGGCCGCACCAAACTCGAAAGTGGAGCGTCACATATTGGATAAGTTCAGTACCACCCTTTGATGCGGCGTAGGCAGGTTTTCGGACCGTAACGGAAGTAAAAGCAAGGACTGGAACCCTCTGAAGTTAGTTCAAGAGTGTGGACGGGGATTTAGCGCACCTTGACCATCTCCGCTAACCGCTCCACCACAATGTTTGATGTGAGTGAAGGACTTGTTGCAGTCCCGGCCCTAAAACACTATACTCTGATGGCAAGTAGAAGCTAATGCACCTAGGGATATCGATTACAAGCTTGGTTGCGTCTGAATTCTTTTGCACATACCTGCATGGAATTCGCCAGAATGAATAAGGGTCGGAGTGCATTGCAAATTGTATAAAAACGAGTCTTTAATTACCGTTCCATTTTTAGAGCATGATCAGTATAAAAGGGGTTCGTTATTGTTTGTCTCACGATTGTCACTCAGATATTGATCACGACGTTTCGACTGCGTCCTGTAGGTCTTTATTAGGCTATAGTGTCGATTTACTGGATGGGACTATTAGTACCACTGTGGTTGTTAGTGATTGGTCTATCACGAACCTCGCTCATGGTTGGTGGGTTTCATCAGTCCGGTTTTCGTGCTATTCATTCAACTGTTGCGGCTTTGCTTGAGGTAACTGACTCCTGGGATTATAGCATAGACATTGGGAACATTAACGCACTTATTTTTCGACGCCGTTGACCACAAGATTTTTCTATCTAAACTGTAAGCTTTACCATAACGGTATATCTAAGAATTCATTAAAATGGTTTCAATCATATTTGGAGAATCGCACACAACAATGCTCAGTGTTTTGGGTCCTTATCTGACAGCAGTGTATTAACCTGCTGTGTCCCTCAGGGCACCATCCTTGGTCCACTCTTATTGTTCTTATACATATTAAATGACCTTCCGAATTGTTTGTCAGACTGTGAACCAAGGATGTATGCCGATGACATGCAAACTTACTCTAAATGTGACTAAACCCGAATTTATGCTGAAAGAACCTGGCCAAAGGCTAAATACCCTCGCGGCATCCCCAT